CCCATCTCATTTATCACTTTTCCTTATTTGCTGATAATTATAGTCAATAATTTAGGCACAGTGCTTTTTCACATGTTGCATATGGTGGCCCTTGAAAACTGAATAAGATTTGATCCCATTCTCATATTCAATGGTTGTCATTTTTCTCAGCATGTTTACTTAAAAAAATTACCTTGACTTGTATTTCTATTATAGCCATATGCTTCTTTTCACTGCTTTTCTGATGTTCTCACTGCTTTTGTAAATACTGCACATAATGAAGTAAAAAGTCGTGTGTAGAAGACCTTAAAAACTAAGCACACACAGCAAACACACATTTGTAGAGTGAGACCAATGCGATGGTTGAAACTAAAATGACTTGTGCTGGTAACCAGCATGGTTGCTGGACCTCGCTCTGGAACTTATCTTGCACATCATTATCAGAATTTTCAAACTGAAATTCATACCGTTATCCAAAGCAGACAGTGGTAGCAATGCTAATAGGGATTCTTATTGCCACTAGTTATAACCAAAGCATATACCAGGTCTGCGAGGGGGTGACTTACATCCAAGAATTATTTCACCAAGTATGCAAACCAGGAATTCCTAATTTATCAGTTAATGGAGGTGACTGAAATGTCGTCATTGGGGTTTACTTTTAATCTGCCATTGTTTACACTGGAAAAACTGACTATATCAGAAGATACTGTTACTTCACTCAAGTTTTAATTTAAAAGGGTAATAGTGTCAATAGCAGCTAGCACTAATGGTTAAATGAGTAAACCAAACAACAGATTTTTTTCAACAGGTTTTTTTTATACTAGGAAATATATACAGATTTTCTTTGCTAAGTGCAGAGGTAGGTAGAGGTGAGAGAAATGCATTTAATTAGGACTTATCTAGTAGGAAACGAATTAGTGAAACTGAGTAAGTGAAAATGAGTAAGTTATGCATCTGCTTTTTGTTTTTTATTTACTTAGACTCTTAAAATTTTTAAACTCTTATAATTGCCAAGAATTTTCAATGATGATATGTGGAGGATGATGGAAAAGCAAGGGGGTTGCTCATATAATTTCTAGATATTATAGATAGCATAGTCATGATAAATACCAGATTTTCAGCATACGCACAATCTCAGTCAAATCACCTATAATTCAGATCTCAACATCTTTGTATATAGATCACCTTTAGCTGGGTAGCCGATTTGACTTGCCTAGTAATATTTGAGCTGCACATACAGAAACCAATGTCTTTTTGTAGCGGTGACTGCTCATTGTCCCCTTGCATTCATTCTCTCCTTCCTTGTATTTTAAGGTCCTCGTTTTTAGCAAGGCACATGGTTGCCCAGCTAGAGATTTACTGTCCTGTTCTCTCTTGCAAGTTGGGGTGGCCACATGACCAAGTTATTGTCAATGGAATACAAGCAGAAGTGATGTGTACAATTTCCACATAACTTCCTTAAAAGGAAGTTGTTTGCTCTCCACTTCTCTCTCTCCCTTCCTATGGACTGGAATGTGGATGTGATGCTGTGTCAGCTTTGGCCATGCAGATGGGGACAAGCCTTGTGAGGAAGGCAGAGCCACAAGATGGGAGGAACCTGAGTCCCTGGATAACATTGTGGAGCAGAGTCCCCTACTCACTTTGGGCTGCCCTCCTACCTCTTGACTGTCATGTGATAGAGAAAGAAACTATCTCATTTAAACTACTAAGTTTGGGGGTCTCTTCTTTGAGAGCAGCTTAGCCTGAATCCTAACTAATAAAAAACTTTTATTTATATTCAATGAGAAGTCCACTTTCTTTCCATGTGGAAGCATTTCCTAGCATTTTTGGGAAGAAAGCTAGGAATGGTAGGGTAACTTTTGGGAAAAAAGGAAGTCAGTATTGCACCATGGGATTTTAGAAGTTTGGTTTTCTCACTGAGAGAAGATGGCACATTTACATTTTCTCTTCCAGGCACATAATGCCATTCACATTAACAGATATTTATCAAGTGCCTACTGTGTGTAAAGCACTGAAGAGTCCCTATGGATACAGAGATGAAACAGACACAGTTCCTGCCCTCAAGGAGCTCACAGTCTACTAGGGCAGACAGCAGAAACACACAAACAAATGCACTACAAGATAGGATGCATATAATAATAGTGATACAAATGAGGTTCTGTGGAACCAGCTCATAGAGCTGGGAGAGAAAAAGTCCATAGTGACAGAAAAGAAAGGAGGATCTCATGAAGGCTTTACAGAAGAGATTGCGTCTGAGCTACATGAGAAAGGATGGGTGGAAGAAGGATGGGAAGCCGTGGGGTCAAGCTTTTGAAGCAGTGGGAACAAATGTTAAGGGAGCTCAGAAAACACAGGAAGCATCCAGACTTTTCTGGAGTAGGAGGTGGGTGAGAAGAGTGATGAGACATAACCCCGGAAAGGTAATTTGAGACCTTTAGTGAAGGAGCCTTGAACATTATACCACGTAATCTTAATTTATTTTATACTGATGGGGAAATAGTAGAGGAGTATGAGTACTGCAATTAAAAATCAACAGTACATTCTAGGGTAGTGATTTTTCACACTTTAGTGTGCACCAGGTCTCCTGGAGGGCTTGTTAAAATAGGGATTGATGGGCCCCCTACTCTCAGAATTTCTGCAGTAGGTCTTCAGTGGGGCCCTAGACTTTGCATTTTTGATAAATTCCCAGGTTATGCTAATGCTGCCAGTCTGGAGAAGCCACTCTGAGAACCACTGTTCTATGAAGATGTGTCTGGCAGGTGTGCAGGGGCAGAGTTGCAATTTGAGGAGTCCAGCAGTAGATGGATCAGATAAGATTGGTCCAGGTGAGAGGACCAAATTGTTGGAGAAGAAGGGAGCATATACAAACATTTCTGTAGAGGTAAATGGACAAGACTGTAAGACTATCCGATTGTAAGAGACAAGCAATGAAGAGAGAGAATCACATTTATCCAATACGAATGATAAAAAGCATGGTAATCTTGTTGTCTGAGACTGAGAAGGTAGAAGGAGGAGAAGGTTTGAGTGTGGGAAAATGATCATGATTCTGTTTAGAAAGGTTATGTTTGCGGCATTGACAGAGTATTCATAGAGAGATGTTCACCAGACATAATTCATGGGTCTGGAGTTTGAGAAAGAGACAGATCAGAACTAAAGACATACATTTAAGAGCCATAGGTGTGGAACTAATTGTTGAAATGATGGAGGTTGGGATGGACAATGAATATACAGGAGGTGAGAGCTGAGGACACAGCCTCAGGATAAAGAAAAGGAGGCAAAGAATAGGATGTAGTTGGAGAACCAGAGAGTGAAGTACCCTGGAAGGCATGGGCTTAAACAAGAAGGGGATGTTTTAATTGATGAAAGAATGGGAAGTAGATAAGGACAGAGGCAAGGCCTCTGACATTGGCAAGTCACCAATGACCTCTGGGAGATCAGTTTTGGGAGAACTGGGGGGGGGCACACTTAGATGGTAAAGGATAGAAAAGCCAGTGGAACGTGAGAACTGAAGGCAGAGCAAGTGGATTCATGACTGGAGAAACACAAGTGAGAGAGGAGAGAGATGAAGCCGGACCTTGAGGGGAAAGTAGGGCCAGAGGAAGTTTATTCTAGTGTCCAAGAGACTTGAACAAATTAATAGGTGAGATTAAAGAAGAGTGGGAAGAGGAGGGGGTGGGAGGGAGAGAGAAAGAGAGCGAGAGAGGAGAAAGGAGCAAGATTAGTAAAAAGTTGAGAAGGGATAGATTTAAGGGCTAAAACATGGAGATGGAGAGAGGGCAAATCAATGTCTTCTCAGTAAACAAAGAAGAGAGATGACCTGTGGAGAGTGAGGAGATGGGGAGAGGCTGTGGATGAGAGATGAGGAGCAGAGGTTTAGAACAGTCACTTACTTAGGAGTATACAAGAATTTACAAACTTTCAGTCGTTTCTATCATCGCTCTGACTTAGCAGTGAGCTCCTCCACGTGACTAGAGCGGTCACTCCAGGTCAGCCGAGGCTGAGTCAGGCCACGACCCTGTGGCCTCGGGTCCCGCCTGCTGTCTCCTGGCCCCAGGGTGCAGTCTGGCAAGGAAGCCACAGGGATTTCAGGGGACACAATTTCATACTCATTTCCTGATGGGTGGCTTTGCTGTAAACATAGATTTTCAACTTTTAATTTTTTTTCCAAGTGCAAAACTGGTAATTTAATGAGTAACATTCTCCAACAAAGTTCTTCAGATAATATATTCCCTCATTTGGTGACTGCACCCCATTAAGCTGCTGTAAAAGTTCTCCAAATTTGACATGTACTCCCACTTTAATCCTGCTGGAATGAGAGAGTGTATTCGAGGCTTAGCTGGGACACTTCTTAGAACTGGAGGAGACCCAACGTGTCTGTCAGGAAATAGAGCAACACATTGACCAATTTAGATTATTATTTTATAATCTTGTTTGCTCATGTTTCATATTCATAGTCAAAGACCCAGGAAAATGCCCGTGCATTCATTCCAGGTTCTTTTTAGAGAATGAGGAAGCTTATTTAATTGTGAACGAAAAAGGCCATGCCAGCTGCACTATCTGTGCCTGAAAGGTGTGGGCTATGTAGTCATAGTAAGTGACTTTAGTTCAGATCTGCAAGCAGTAGATGACAGCAGACTACTTTTTTGTTTTTTTTTTTTTACTTTACGTAATCATGCAGTTCCCACTGGAATTTGTAAGCATTGGGAGCCAAAATCTCAGATTTAATGCCACAAGAGAATAAGTTATCAGGTACTTGAATTATAAGTAATAAGAAAGTCTGCAAATAAAGATTTACTTTAGCATTTTTTAATTGCAGGGTTAACTGAAATGGCTAAAAAAAAGTACTTACTATTTCATCTTATTATGACTTCTATGAAATTTCTGTTTTTGTATGATAATGTTTATTTGAAATTAGGTACCACAAATAAGCCCAGAGGTAGAAAACAACACACCAAAGAACAAGCCCCAACAAAAGAGAACAAAACAAACAAACAAATAAACAAAAAACAAGACCACACATACTTACAAACTCTCCCGAACCAATTATGTTCAAGAATTAATGAGTTGCACCCCTTACCCTCGTCCACTCTCGAGGCTTGTAAAAGTCATGCCTTCTGGCTTTTTACAGTCTAAGCATGTTCCCGGCACCTAATGAGCTTTTTAAAAGCTAGCTTAAAGTCTTCATTAAAACTAGTGTAGAGCAGAGGGTTGATCAGGGAGTTAACATAACCAAGCCATGTCAAAAAATCGGCCACTTCAGAGGACACGGTGTAGATGCTCAGACCTACAATCAACTCTTTGATGAAAAATGGCAGCCATGACAAAATGAATGCACCCAAAATCAGGCCCAGGATGCGTGCTGCTTTGCGCTCCCTGGTACTAGAGATTTGCTGGCGTTCTCCCGGGTGATCTAGATCATTGTCGAAGGGAGGGATCCTGATGGAGGTGTGGATCTTTTCAAACTCTGTTGTAGGGTCTGAGGTGGAGAAGTCAGACACACAGAAAGTCTGTGTAAGTTTACAACTTGCAAACGAATTTTGGCTATCTGTGCTTCTGTTGCTTAAGTGCCGGCTTGATCCTCTTTTCTGGTAGAGACTCTTGGCTGCGTGGTAAATCCGGTAATAGAGAATCAGTATCAAAGTCAAGGGGATATAAAATGCCCCAAGTGTGGAGTAAATGGTGTAGATGACGTGGTCATGCTGGATGGTGCACTGACTAGGGGGCGGGCTGAGTCGGCGGTGGCTCCTCCAGAACAGAGGGGGCATGGAGATGAAGATGGAGATGGTCCAGACGGTGAGGATCATCAGTCCAGCCCTCTTGGCGGTCCTCTTCCTGGCATACTCAATAGCATTGGTGATGGCCCAGTACCTGTCCAGGGCGATCACACAGAGATGGAGGATGGAGCAGGTGCAGCAGGTCATGTCCACACTCAGCCACACCTCGCAGGTGAAGTACCCTAGCTTCCAGCTGTCCATGACAATGTACATGATGCTCAGGGGCATGACGAGGACTGCCACCAGGAGGTCCGTCACGGCCAGAGAACAGATCAGGTAGTTGGCAGGCTGGTGGAGCTTCTTGGTGGTGCAGATGGCCATGATGACGGCTGAGTTGAGCAACATGGTCAGGGAAGTGATGAGCACCAGGGTCATGGAAATGAACATCTTCTCAGTGATGGTCTTGGGTCTCACAGCCACACTGGCTTCTGTGGTACAGTTAGTGATGTTCATGTTTTCCTCGTTCCAGTCTACACTGGGGAGAAGCTGTTGGTTATTTTCCTTTAGCTGGAAACTACTTAGACTTGAATGTCTCTCATTTATAAGGAGGGTGTAATTTCTTCAGCTGTGTAGTCTCTCATGTCCCATTTCATGTGGGTAGAGGGAAGCACCATAGCATTTCTTCTGAATGGAGGGTCCCTGGAAAACAGTATGCTATTGGTTAATGAATGAAAAAGCCATATTCTTTTCTGGAAAACTTGACAATATTTTGGTATTCATAAATTCTTTACATATTTTTGATATTATTTTCTTTTTCCTCTCTGAATGTAAACTTCATCTTTACATTAGTCCTCAAAGAATACTTTTTTCTGGGTAAGTTCCCAAACTCCTTCCAATGAAGACATTACCAAATTTTGTCTATCTTGCCACCTGAATTACTTTCTTATTTATATTTATTCTTTTATATATGTATTTATATATAAAAAGGCTTTGCTACACTTGGAAACATGTATTCACATTATATTATGCTTTAAATTCTGGGGCCGTTACATTAAAGAAAAAATTATACTGTTTGTAATGAGCAGCTTTCAAACCAGATTTTAAAGTTTCACAGCAAATATTCAACTCCAGAGATATTTTAGTGTCACAATGGGATTGTGCAATTTTGTCTAATTATTTCTGACATTTTACATATCCCACTGTGCATTTCTTTGGAGAAAAGAGAAAAAAGCATATAACGTTACTTTGATGTTTATGGCAAATTGTTCTCAGAGTAATACAGTAAATCGTCTGTGAAACAGCATCATCTCCAAGCCCAAAGATCTCTACATTTTAAAAATGTGTTTAGTTTTGGTTAACATTTGTATTCTAGCTGTATCTGTCTATTTCTCTATCATCCGTCTATCATCTGTCTAGCTGGATAGCTGTGATTGAACTGGGCAGTCAATGAGACAGTGACATTTACTGAGTGCATAGCTGTAAGGAATTTTTAAAAAGTAAAATCAAATATAAGTATATATTGGGCCGGCTCCGTGGCTTAGCGGTTAAGTGCGCGCGCTCTGATGCTGGCGGCCCGGGTTCGGATCCCGCGCGCGCCCCGAGGCACCACTTCTCCGTCCAACCCGGGGCCGAGTCCCACGTACAGCAACTAGAAGGATGCGGACCTATGACGTACAACTATCTACTGGGGCTTTGGGGGGAAAAAATGAATAAATAAAATCTTTAAAAAAAAAAAATAAGTATATATTCATGAGAACAACACAATCAAAATCCGCATAGGAATATTCACGGCTAATGGCTGCTGGTTAGAATGCCGTTCAAATCTTCTGATTTGACTCTATGGGATTAGGCCCACGAAAGCTTCAAAGAAAAACCGGTGTTTTAGCAGTTTTAAGAAGGCACACAGATTGATGTAGATTAGGCTAACACACAATGATTTTAGCAAAGGATGAGGGCAGGGGCAGGTGAGATGTGTGAGACCGGAGTGAAGGCAGGTGGGGGTCTTTGGGTGGAGTGGGGACTGGGAGTCAGGGGGCAGGAATGGATACCTGCAGCCTGGGGGAGACCAGCTCTGGGTGCAATTTCTCCCGCCCATAGGGCTAAACCAAGAAGAGGGGAAAAGTGTGCCATTTATCCTTTAGATCTAGAATACAAAAGAAAACAAGGATGACTTCACTAAAGACCAAAAAAGGGGCAATTGTCTTTAAGAGAGTCTGTATATTTCTGCAGGTAAATGAGAATCATGCTGCCTCTGTTTCCATTACGCTTTTACAGTGTTTCTGTGGATGTAGCTGCTTTTGGGTGTGCCTAGGGTTTCTCTAGTTCTTCCAGAGGACATGCTCCACCAACAATCCCCTCTTTCTTGTAAATTGAATGTTTTCTTCTCCATGGGCACCTTTCTCTCCTTTTACAATCAGTTTAAACGTGCATTTATATTTGAGACAGGCTATAAAATTGAAAGAGTATGGGCTTGGGAATCAGACAGATCTGGGTTCAGATTCCAGCTGAGCCGTCTACCTCTGCTTGGGGCACCTCTTTACATGTCTCCCTGTGTCCCATGGGTTTATTTTGACCCCTTTTTCTTTAATAAAATGAAATAAAGTTGGTTTTTCTGCGAATATTTAAACTTAGTTATACTTTTCTTGGGTTCTTGAGGTTTGTTGGATAGAGCAGTTCTCAATAAAAAGGCTTTTCCACTCTGACTGTAAGATGAAGAGCACAGAGAATAGCGTGGATAAGGGACAGAAAACTTGAGAAATTTCAATTTGATAATAGAGGCAATCGGGAAATGCAGTTACGTTGAAAGCATGCAGTAAAAATATCAGAAATAATTTAGCTTCATAGAGCTTGTGAGAGCTGCTCTATTTATCTGAGCTCCCATAACTCCTAATTCTCATTTCTCTGGTGACACCATTTTGTTGCTTTCTTTGTAACTATTTATTTTTCATTTCCCTCAGCAGACTATACATTTCTGGAGGGTGGGATGTAAGCCTGATTCATCTTTTTAACTGCCTCTAGTTAAATTAGCAAAAACACTACAGTTTGGGGGGCCTACATTGTCAGCTCTTTAATGTGACTTCTTGGTTTATTTTATGCCCAAGCCTTTCAGAGGAGGAATTAAGTTTTATATCCCTGTGTTCTTCTATCCCAAACTTCTGCACACATCCAGCTGGCCATCTTTCATCTTTTTTCATTTAACAACAGATCTTGAAGTTTGTTCCATAACATATATAACACATTCTTTTGAATGGCTGGGTGAGATCCCCTGGGGAGCGATGATAGATTGGACAAGTCTGGGCCTTGGAGCTCTTCACTGTTTAAAGGTCAGGTAGGCAAGGAGGACCCCGAAAAGCAGAGGAGAAGAACAGCTACTGAGATGGAGGAGAAAGAGGAGAGAAAATCCTATTCCAAGACCATGGGGAGAAAGTGTGTCAAGTAAGAGAGAGCGATCAGCTGTGTGAATACTGCAGACAGGCAGTGGGTGGTGAAGACTCGACCTTTGGGCTGGGCAATTTGGATGACATCGATGACTTTGACAAGAGCAGTTTGGTGCAGTGCTGGAGATGAAGGGCTGAATGTGGTGGTTTCAAGAAAGAACGGGAGGAGAGGGAGTAGAGATGGTGAACAAGAGCAATTACTTCAAGAGCTGCTGAAAAGGGGAGCTGAGAAATAAGGTAGTAGCTGTGGAGGGAGATGTGGGCTCAAGGTTATTTTCTTTTTAAGATGAGAGATTGTCTTTTTTGACTAGTCTGTTTACAGTTTTCTTTGCTGCCACACTCAGTATCCTTTATATTGGGACAGAAAGTATTTTTGGAGTGAATGGCATGTAAAAGAGGAGGCAGGACTGCAGTAATGGGGGAAGCTAGGAGTCAGTGCAATGAGGCCTGGGGACAACAGGTAAGTAGAATTTCTTGAGCAATTTAGAGGACCACGTTGAGGGCAGTGAAGGGGCCAAAGATACAGCCATACTCAGGAAATGATCAACCTCGAGTGCCTTGGCTTCCTTTTTACCTTCTTAAGAAAATAACACGTGGTTTCATAATCACTACCAACTCCTTAGGAGGCAGTATGCTTTCTAATTAGAACAGTGCTGGTTGAATAGCACTCGAAAATCTCTTGAGTCTCTTTAGCTTTTCACGTAATAGGGGAGGAGAAATTATAATAACACAACTTAAAACACTTTCTGCAGAACCAATCCAAATACTAATATCAACACCTCAAACTTCTATTAGTGCACTGGAATGGAAAATTAACTGCAATAATCATAGCTAAAAACGGACATATCCTATCAGGAGTTGATGCAGGAACTTCTCGGGGCGAGCACGTTAACTTTCAGTTTCTCCTCTAATTATGACATGGAAAATACCAGTGCAATCCAAAGCCATATTTAAATGTTTTCCATTAAAATTATGAATAGGAGAGAATCACTCTAAACCAAACAGGTCAGTGTGTGCTGCTTGCATTTACTGGGAGGCTTCAGAGCCTCTGATTTCTACCATCTCAGTGACGGTCAGAGCACCAGGGAGAAGAGGTTATGAGCCCACAACTCATTTTTAATTTCACCATCTTGTCTCATCTTCTATTGGTTTTCAATAACTATTAATAATTCACCATAAATGCTCTTTCATCTCTTCTTTCATTGTTTTCATTTTGCCCAAATTTCTTCAAATCATTTTTTTAAAAAAATCTCCAATATGTGCCAATTTCTTCTTTTTTGTTATTTCAGCAGTGGCAGCTTGCCCTCATATTACTAATTTTATCTCTCTAATTGTTTGTTAAATTCACTTCCTCAGGCTTCATAAAGAGTTTTCTTTGCTTGTCCAGGAGAAAGGAAGGGTGGATAGGAGTGTGTTTCTCGATTTGATCTTCAGTAGAAGCAAAGGAAATGTAGAGGAGATACTGGAGTGTGGGGTTCTTTATTTTCATTTTCTTATTGACTTAAATTGTGATTGGGACACGACATGTGGTCATTATGAGGGTATCATATTCATAATAACAGGGAAACATTATCCTTGTAAAAATTCAAGCAAAACAGAGCACATAGAGTTTTAGGAGATGTTTATATATTCTGGACACAAGTCTTTTGTCAGAACATTGTTCTGCGAACACTTTCTTCTACTCTGTGGTTTGCCTTTGTATTTTTTAATGATGTCTTTTGAGAAACAGATTTTAATTTTGATGAAGTCTAAGTTATCTATTTTTTCTTTGTGATTAGAGCTTCCTGTGTCCTAAGAATTCTTTTCTAACCTCAAGGTCACAAAGATATTTTTCTGTATTTTTGTCTAGAAGCTTAACAGTTTGAGCTTTTGTGTTCTTATTGGAGGGAGTCATTGAGTGGATGTGACTGCCCACTGAACATGAGCTTGGCTCAGGAATGGGGGGCTCCTCAGCCCCTCCCCTGTCCTTGGAATGTATATTCTGCCCACCATTTCCACAGTGGGAGTCATTTTCAAGGACGCAGCCTTGACAGTGCAATGTGGACGGTACATGTGACTGAACCCAGTTAAGTCTTCTGTATAAACTTTTAAGATTCTAGTGGGCGAGTGCAGAGATCTACTCATCTGGTGGCTCATATGTAAGTCCTCTTGCTTATTTTTTTTTTTTTTTCCC